ATGTATATGTGTATATATGTATATATATAAAATTTATTTATTCTTTTAAAAAAAATTATTATACATTACATTTCATCAGTCTGTTCTTCCTGTCATAAACATGCAGGCATCCACCATTGCAGGATTACCCATAATCGTCCATGGAAGTCTGTCTTACTTGATTCCACTACAATCCCTTGTGGTAAAGTGAAAAATAAGGACAAACCTACATTAACACACACACATGTTTGCTCTCTGTCTCTTGCATACACACATAATTGGCTTGTTAATGCTGTTTATTTACTTAACCTTCACAGAGCTGACAACTTTCTCAGTGAACTGATTTTCAGCGCGTCACCATTATAACCCTACAGGCATGTGTATCGATGCAGAAAACATCCATGCCAAATGCATGCTGCAAAAACCTCTACATGCATCAAACCTGTAACATAAAACAACGGTCCCGCCACACACAAGTGATGTTGTGCTGAACTCGAAAGCTTTGATCAATAGCATATCGACTGCTGCCCCTGTATTATACGTCATCTGAGTCACCCTTGAATCAAATGCCAGTCAATGTTTATTAGGCTGCACGCCACCAGAGACACAACACCCTTGTAATGAGCTTATCCTCTAAACTGAACAGCTGCTTGACATTGGTGGTGTTCAGTACAGAGTGACTTAATTGAGAAGATGATACTGTTGGATAAACACACAGCTTGGAAGACAAAAAAGCAGAAATTGACCCATTCCTGAGCACATGCAACAAATTACAAAGTCAGCTTAATGAACGATCTGTGCTAACACCTTTTTTTCATCGCTCTCTCTGTGAAACGATAAATACCTGCCATCTTGCAGACCACACACATGCACACATGCTCTGTCAGTGTGATGTTGTGGTAGAGAAAAATTCAGTCTGTCTAAACAGAATGGGTTGTGGGTGAGAGAAAAAGAAATGGGCAAGTGGAAGACAGATGCAAGTCAAGAATCGGCAGCTCGTGGCTTTTTTGGAACTTTCAGGACCAGCATATTCCCAGAAAGTAATCCTGGGATTGCTTTTTTTCTGGATCAGCTGCTAACTGACTAAACCGTCTCGTCCTGTCCCTCCCACTGCGTTTCATCCCTTGTACAATACACATGAGCAAGCCTAAACTTTAATCACATTAACTAGCTGGGCAGCTGCTGGTGCTTTTTCCCCTCTTCTGTGACGTATAAAACCAGCTGCAGGGTGTAAAAGGGTTGAAGGAGCGGGTGGGGTTGAGATTATATGATGAGGTCATCATCTCCTGTGATTTATGGTTTCAGCACGTGATGGGTGGGACGCTGGCTTCTGCGCAAATGCTCCTGATGATCTTTGAAGACTGAACATGGGAAAATGAGATTAAAAGTATTAATTGAAAAATATTATCCTATAAATCTGGGCCAATACCATGTAATTCTAAAATGCTGGTACCAAATATAAGCTCCTCTGTATTGTTGCTGCCTCTTTTATCACCTCACCTCTTTCATACTTAAGTGCGGGCCGATATGTGATCTTACATTGATTTAGTTTGGCTTTTTTCATTGATTTTACAGCTCAGCAGTGGTTACTAATCTTCCAGAGTGATGCCTTTGTCAATCTGATTATCAGGATTAATGTTTAAGTGTGTGAGACTGATATATGGTGACCGATTGCAGCATGGTACAGCTTTACACTGTGATTTTTAAGCCATGTCTTCACATCTGACCTTCCTCTGTTCTGTTTCTTTTAGGTGTTTTCTTTTAGAGCCACAGCCAGTTTAAACTTTTCACCGATATATCTGTTTTTTGGGGGTTTTTTCTTATTATTCACTCTGATAATGTGGCTTACCGCTAATCCAAGAATCTCTCTGAAACAAGAGTTTAAATCATCCGATTGTGGCTGTAATATTTGTTTTTAGGTTAAGCTGTGGCTCCTTTTCTCAGAAATGGCATTAGTGAAAATCATTTCTGAGTAACCGCCTGACTTTGTGTTCTCTCTACAGGGCTGGAATTGATGATGTGGAGACAGATGTGGTAGAAATTGAAGCGAAGCTCGATAAGGTATGAATCCTTCTAACATGTGGACTGTGCTTCTCATTAAAAGATAAAGTCAGCTGATCCATAAGGGAAAAAAATCACGTGTCCATTTCTTTCAGTGGTTAGAACACTTTAAACAGGGCATTAGTGGAATTCATTGGCTTTGTTTGAATGCTAAACGCCACCAGATGGGGAGGTTTTCTATGAGTAGTACTTTAGAGTCTACGCTGTAATCAGTTTTCTGTATCGCTGTCTTTCTCGCTCTGCATGTCTGCAGTTCACACACTTGTTATTTAAATGTCAGAGCTATTTAAATAATGAAAACGCTGCAGACAGTTAATTAAATGCAGTGGGTTCATGCACCGAACAAGAGGCTGCCCGTTTACAGGGAGAAAAGACTGATTAATGCCAGCGAGGTTGCAAGTAGTAGAAAAGGCTCACATAGTGCAGTTTATTACATTAGTGTGCGCTGAATTTTCCTTTTTTTTTATACAACAATTTATGAGACATGAATTAAAGCACTTTACTTTATTCCATCTCATTTGTTGCTTATGCCTGACAACAAGAAGGTCCTGGGTTTGAATCCTCCCGCTGGCGGGGGCCTTTCTGTTTGGATTTTGCATGTTGTCTCCATGTCTGCCTGGGTACTCGCCGGGTACTCTGACTTCTCCCCACATACCAAAGACGTGCTTGGATTAAGTTAACTGGAGATTCTAAATTAGCTGTAGGTGTGAATGTGAGCGTGTCACAGGGTGCCCACAAAGATGGGCTCCAGTCCCCCTGTGACTATGAATTGGTCAAGCAGAAGAAAATGGATGGATCACTCTGCCCTGAAGTGCAATTTGCCTGAACACAGGAGGTGTTAATTTTAAAGCTGCCGTAGAGACCAAAACTAGGAGGTATATTTATTTTATACATATATTACAGTTCATACTCATGCAGCATTTCATAGTACTATCAGTCAGGTAGCTATATTTGTTTGCCAGAATGAGCCCAGCAAACATACACTATTTGGACAAAAGTACTGGGCTGCACCTCTTAATCTCTGAATTCAGATGTTTTCGGTTCTATTGCCACATGTGTCTAAAATCAATCAGCTAGCCAATGAAAGAATGGGACGTTCACTGTATTTGAGTGTGGTACTGTAATAGGAGGCAACTACTGGAACAAGTCAAGTATTTTCCCTCCTTGATATTCCACAATCAGCTGTAAGTGGTATTACTTGCAAAGTTGATCTCTTTAGGGATGACAGACACTCAAAAAAGTGGCAGAACACATCAACTTACAGGGTAGGGCCACCGAGTGTGAGGCATAAAAGTTGCCAGCTCTCTTTTGACTCAAGATCTGCAGAGTTCAAACCTCCTCTGGCATCAACATCAGCACAAACACTGATGTTAATACCAAACAGGTATCAGCTCCTGTATGTGGCCCAGTACTTTTCTCCACATAGTATATAACAGAATAATTTAGAAAAAGAAGCTTAAGGTAACTCCATAAGTGTAGGCATTCGCATCAGCATCACTGTGATCAGGCTCTGTTCTCTATGGTATTAGTGAGAGGTTAAAGGTTTAAAGGCAAATGGAACGACTGGAATAAATTTTATAGCTGTATCAAACCTAATTAGCTACAGAGATAACTCTGGATGGACCGGATGACTGTCTTGAGGAAGTGAGCTGAAAGGCTTCTTCAGATAAACTAATAGACGTGGAAGTCAAAGAGATTTTAGAGTGGGAGATAGTGCTACTGCAGCTTCTTTCTTCTTCTCTCTGAAGGTGAATCTGAGACAGTTCTTCAAACATCAAACAGCCTGCAGACATAATGAAATGTGGATTAACAAACCTCAGTGTGAACACCTAAGTTTGTTTAAATAATAAAGTTATTATTTAGATGGTTTTGACTTACTTAATATTAAAGTTCATCATTAAGGAGTAATGTGAATAGAGCCCCTTGCTCTCTACACATATAAACATTCCTGCCACCAACTGATAATGCAGGACCTTATGAACTCTGAACTCCAGTTCAGCCTCACTGAAAACTGAAAAGCGTCAGAGGAGATATATTTCCACCAGGGAGGTTTGTTCTGTTCAGCAGGAGTCCTCCACCTGCCCTGAAGCTATCTGTGATGACAGCAAAGGCTTTCAGGCAAGGACACGGACATGACTGATGAAAGCTGAATCTCTCTGACAAGTGTGAAAACATTTAGTGCTGTCCGTCGGCTAACTGGAATACTGAAATGTTGCTGTTATTGAGAGAACACTAACAGTACTCAGAAACATTTCTAATTAGTTAAAATATTACAATTCACATTCTTCACCTCATTGCTCAGCGATTCTGCAGTTACGCTGCAAATATACTGTTATTGTTTCGGTCAATTAACACAGCAAGGTCTGTCGTGTGGCACCAGATGTGGCATTTTGGCTCCAATTCATTTATTATATCCAGACACACAGCTTGTCCCTCTAATGGCCATTCTCAGACCCCTGGGGGGTTCAGGCCTGCACTCAATGAGATCACATTCCCTACATCAACCAATTTGTTGACATATATGTTGTCAGACCAGCCTGGGAGGAGCAGGTTTGGAGTTTCTATAGATTCCTAAAAATGCTGTTAAAATTTGGACTGCATTATGCATCTTAGAAAACATACTGTGTGAACATGAGTGTGAACATTTGGCAAGTGATGCTTTTGATCCCAGCAGCCCGTTTTAGCAGCGTTCACGCGGCTGCAGCCCTTACTGTCAGCCACCCAGTAAACCACAGTCACATACAGACAACCTTGGGAACGCTTGCACCAAATGTGATAATTAAAGGTTTACTACACTCTCTCTTAAGCAACCCCCAACCCCACCCCTTTCCAGCAGACACAAACACACACATGTTGTGTTTCGGCATAAGTGCATTGGTAATGACAGTGTAACTTTCTGCACCTTATCATATTACTTGCAAAACGGGAAAGCAGTCACAGTGAAAGTCATGATGTGGCATTCTACTGTCTGCGCTTGTTAATTTACATTTTGTTTAGAATTTCAGTTTACCCTGACATGACTTTGGCTGCATACTATATTATACAATATACTATATTATTTAATTCTCAATGTTGTGTATCGACTCCCAAAGCTTTTTAATACCTAAAGTCTGCTTATCAAGGTTGTATCAACGCTAGTGCCTTGGCTCTGAGGTTAGTCACATTTCTATGAAATTTGGTACTTGAATGCATTTGTCTTTGGAGATTCCCCTTCTAGCGCCAACTTAAACTTTAGTAAAAACATCCGTAAAAACATTAACGAGCAGTAAGTTTGCTAATTGCATCTGTCTTTATATTGCTTGCATTAAGCTTTTTTTTTGCAACAATGTATATTTCAGATATTTCACAGGAAAATGTTTATTTCTTATTTTTTTCAGCAGTAGATTTAAATTGTTTCCAATTCTGTCATAATGCTTAGCAAAAAGGTGATCCAGCCATAAATAAACATTAACAATTTTTTTCCTTGAGGCACCTCAGAATGCCATGATGACCTCTTCATGCTGTGTAGTGCCATCAAGTGTGTTTTGCAAGAGCTTGCACTCTACTTTTGGAAAATATTGCAGTCACGCAACCTTGCATCTGTCAGTAGAGTTGCACAACACAGAGCTAATTAGCAAGTGTTTGAAATTTCCTCTATTTATTATGTACCAAGTTGTGAGTAAGTTGGTGTGTGGGATTTGGGACGCCGCTTTAATCATAGTTATGCAATACAGTCAGTGGCCTTTGATCATCTTCTTCATTTCCATCTTTTCATTTGCTCATTTAGTTACTTTCTTAATAAATACATGCTTCTCAGTTGGATTCCTGACACAGCAGCTTCAGTAAGGCCTGCGCTGGCCTCCAAAATTAATATTATTCCAAATTTGAGCGTCCTCTCGCATTCAGCATGTGAGCAAAAGATTCTTATAGGCTTTGTTTGATTTACGTCATCATTTTGACTATTAATATCCTCACATCTCATTGTATAAAAAGTCTTTAAATAGAAAGTGTTCTTGTTTTGGGGGCATTAAAGTGATGTTTTTACACCTCCCATTAGTTGGTGAAGCTATGCAGCGGGATGATCGAGGCCGGCAGGGCCTATGTCAGCGCTAACAAGCTCTTTGTTAACGGCATCAGAGACCTGTCCCAGCAGTGCAAGAAAGAGGAGATGATATCGGTGAGTAGAAGCAAGGATATCTTCAACACGGAGTTCAGATTCACTGAGTAATATTTGAGTGCCAGCTTCTTAGCAACTGACTTCTCCTCTGTCTTTGACTTGGACATTCCTGCATGCATTCCTCCAGTTGTTGTGTGCATGGAAGAGGTGACCTGATTTGAACAGGAGACGTTTACACTAAAACTTTACATGCCTGCAAGCATATAGACCTGAAACTGACTTTATAGTTTTTTAGGAAGGCATTTGGTCTCTGTTTCCTGTGTAATGTGTACTCATGTATAGATAAGTTGTTATGTGAGAAAGATTTTGACGTTCATATGGAAATCCATGCTTACACTGTGCACTCTACATCACAGGAATGCCTTGAAAAGTGTGGCGAAAGCCTCCAAGAGATGGTCAATTACCACACGGTAAGACACATCTTCACACACACGCGCACAGACACACTGTATGTTGTAGCCACAGGTGAGAGGTTGAGGTACAGCCCAGGTCTTCTGACATATTAACATCTTTCAGGCATGCACAACTCTTACACACACACAACACTTCAACTGTGAAATCACTCAATGACTTTGAATCTGTCCACACTGGCCAGTGATCATGTGTGTGTCTGATTCAAACCACATGCTGGACCAGATGTGTATTGCAGGTTAATGCATAAACACACACATGCACACTCACACGCTCACAGGTTTTCCCCACATGACTCCAGAGTGATTTCTCCTCATGACTAAGTGTGATCTCGAAATTTCTCACTCTATGAAAGGTTTCTCACACTGCTGAGATGATGATGCAGGTTTAAAAAGCCCAAGGCAGAAAGAGATATTACAGCACTTTAAAGTAATCAGCAGTAATCATTAGGACATGACAATATAAGACAGTGTGTAATATTCTGAGATGCTCACTCAAGTCCATGTTTATGCATTATGCACGCATGCGTGACAAAATTAGGAACAAAGGAGAGTATTGACAATGAAGGGAAGTGGGGGAAGAAAATAAACACAGAATAAAAAAGGAAGTGACAAAGAGACACAAATGTAACAGATCTGAAGCTTTCTGTTTTTTATTCCACAGAGTGTGAGTTATCTCTTAGATAAATCTTCTTCAGTTGCATGGTTCCGTTATGATCTCCAACTTCACCTTTTTAAAGTCAAATCAAATCAAATCTCTGCTTATTACATAGGATCCATTAGCCACATCAGACCAATAATTTCCTATTTTTTTTTATAGACGCGGTGTACTCTTTTCCTTTCTATCCATTACAAGTTATGTAATGTCTGCAGTCCTTGCTTATATTACATAGAGCACCAATTTTATGAACGCTGTTTCTTTTCCGCTGCCCTTTCACACCATCTCAATGCATCCTCTGTGACGCCTTTTTTCTTGCTTTCCCTTCATTCACCCTTCTAAAGAGTGTTTGTTTAGCAGATTTTGTGAATAAACAAGGGAAGGAAAAAATAAAGGATGAATTCCTTTGCTAACTCACACTTGCCTGCATCTTATCTACTAACATATTCCCACGGTTTGCTGTGCCGTCACCCTCATGGAGAAGCTTCAGTTCCCTGAAATATGAGAAGAGGACCAGCAGCCTTACACATCCATCATGATGAGGATGATGTGAGGAAGAGATATGAGAAAGAGAATGAAGGAGATGTGTTAGCCTAATAAAAAGCAGCCTTAGTGTCTTTACTTAACCAATCAGTGCCTGTTTCTAAGGCTTTTCAGCTGTCGAGCATAAACAAGGGCATTCAAAAGAAAAACGGATCTCTCAGTAAATTATATAAGCAAATGTGTTTACATTCAAACATGGATCAGTCTCAGCAACAGATAAGGAAGCTTAAAAAAAGTGAAACTGAGCAGATTTCTTTTTTTTTAATATTGTCGTTTGAGTACCTGTTGACAGCATTGTGCGATTTTCTATACTGTGATATATTTCTGTTGATGATCACTGTTCTTATTTGGCCACAAGCAAAAAAGAGCTTTGGCTTTCCATCCCAGGTACAAGAGGCTGATGGGGCTCGGAGACACGGAGGATCTTTGAATTTCAAGAGAATTGCATGAGGAAATTGAGTGCTGACATCATGTAGGTTGGGCTGGGTCGAGCCCAAGGCATTATAATCAAGTGCAGGCCTGAGTGGAACATTTGGATTAGTTTCTATCAGATGTACATTGATTGAAGTGTTTCCAGTGAAAGGAGACATGGGAGGAGTTGCAAAGTCTTTCCTCCTTATTTTAAGAATCCATTGCACAATACTTAAAAGACAGGCTCTGTGGGAAGTTCATACATGCTTATGAAGGAATAAATCATTCTATTGCTTGACGTTGTCCACTTCAAATTTCCACACTGAGCGTGCTCTACATTTGCAGAATGACAAGCCACCTCAAGCAAAAAATCGGAGTCTCATCCGCCGTGTGTTATCAGGCCCTGCAGAGATGTCATGTGGTCGGAGGCTTACATGTACACTAAGCCCATAATCCTCAATGTGTATGCTTGCAAACTAGGGATTGCTATAGAAAGTTTAATCCATAGGATACCAAAAGTGATTGTTGTGTACACTGTCCGCATGCGCGTGATTATAAAGCAATTACTGTAAGTCTCTGCGTCTGCGTGAGCTTGTGTGCACGTGTGTTGCACAAAGATAAATCAACAAGGCACACGGTTTCCTTAATATAGTCTAGGATAATATCAACAGCAGTGGCTGGAATATAAAAATGGAAACAAACTCACTTCCTATAGTGGAGAGAAGAGTTGGTTAAAATGCATGAGAAGTGGAGGAAAGAGAGGATGAGACAGTCAGGAAATGGAATCCCATACTTAACAGGAAGTAAAATGTGGGCTCAAATATTGCTAAAAATCTACTGAGGCGGTAGCTGAGTGTGTTCACGTGTGTGCTCGCTTTTCTCATTTCCTTCAGCTCCTCTCTGCTTGTGGCTGAAGCCGTTAAAGTAGTCACATGAAAGGGATCATAATGCCATCTTGTGCCCAGATCGGAGAACTACAGATTTTCAGATGTATTCATTGCTTGCTCTTTAACTGCTGTGCACTGTATCTCACATGATATCTCTTCCTTCCATCTGCTCGCAGATTTTGTTTGACCAGGCTCAGAGGTCCATCAAACAGCAGCTTCACACCTTCATTAAAGAGTGAGTATCACATCACATTTGAGTAGATTTAAGCACTTAAGAGAGGTGAGGACAAGTGAACAAGATGTTAAACCACTAGCTATATGAAGACTAGATGTCTGTTTTTATAAGTAACTTCATGTTTTAAGATTTCTATCTAGTCCCCTAATTGTTGTGTTAAGTGTGCATTTTTGTACTCACATGCAGAAATCTCCCAATAATAACAGAAATTAAGAATTTCGATCTCACCGTTTCTGATTTGGCTAAAAATCTGTGAATTCTTACCTTTGTGCTTCATGGTGCTTGTACCAGGGATATACGGAAGTTCAAGGATACCAAGAAGCAGTTTGATCGAGTGCGTGAGGACATGGAGCTGGCGCAGGTGAAGAACGCGCAGGCACCCAGGAACAAGGTGCATGAGGCGGAGGAGGCGACGCAGGCTCTCATCCTCAGCCGCAAAGCTTTTCGGCACCTGGCCCTGGACTATGTGCTACAGGTGAGGCACACAGAACATAGACTCTACTTGTTATTACTAGTGTTTTCCAATAGGTGGCACTGTGAGTCAACTTCTGTTGAACCCATGCACAGACTCTTGATCTGCTCTCAGATCTCTCCTGTACGTCTCAAACATGAAGTCTAAAATGTAGAATTTTCTTTTTCTCTTCGTTTCTGGCAGATTAATGTGCTTCAAGCCAAGAAGAAGTTTGAAATCCTGGATGCAGTGAGTGACTCGGATCCATCTGTATCGTCACATAATTATACATATACAGCATATATGTATACCTGTGCAGTGTGTTTTAACTTTGTCATTTGACTTCCTTTGTCTGCTACAGATGCTGTCATTCATGCGAGCCCAGTATACTTTGTTCCAACAAGGCTTTAACATCTTGGATGAGATTGACCCCTATATGAAAAAACTGGCTGCACAGGTAAACAAAACAAGCAAACCCAAAACATAATAACGAAACCATACCATGTGATTTCTAGTTTCATTGTCCTTTAATTTTACAAACATATTTTCTTTTTCACTCACTGCTCCTGCTGCATATGTGATCTTGTCTTCTATGCAGCTAGATCAGCTGGTCATTGACTCGGCTGTGGAGAAGAGGGAGCTGGAGCACAAACACGCCCTCATCCAGCAGAGAGTGAGACACCATCACAGCTCTTATCTTTGAGCCCACATTGCCATAACAGTTCATCCCTGTGTCGTTTTCTTCCAAGGAAAACTAGGGCAACCTTACCGTCCACTTCTTATGCTTACTTTTCCCTCCACCAGTTATCATCAGTTGCCATCTCCATTTGAAAAACATGTTACAGCAGCCTGTCATATGATTGGTCAGCTGCACTGTTGATCCTGAGCCAGCATCATTATGATGAAATAGGATCAACACCAGCACAGGGATGTTAGATACACCGACTCAGGGACAAGCAGCCATCCACCGAGACCGCTTGAGGGTGATGAGACAAGAAACAAACTACTGGAGAGAGATCATTCGTAATGATGCTAATAGATCAGAATACAAAATAAACAGAATGCGTGGAGACTCTACATCATCTGTGTTTTCATAAATACTAAAGCTTAGCCTTTTCACGACTATTTCCAGCTTCTCTTTTTGCAGCCACTGCACAGGTCTGTGCAGATTCTCCTGTAGCAGCATAGCAGGACTTGCACTGATAGTGAAATCTGAAGTGCTCATCAGATATTGTCTATGCTGACCAGAATGTTAGATATGTTTCCTTAAAGGTTGCTGAAAGGAATTTCTTTTTTAGCATGACAGTCACCTCCTAATTCAGTAGAAGTTCAATAAAACACCGGAGTGAAAAGTGGTATGTAACTGGCAGCATTAAAATAACAAAGCGAAACAGATCTTACAGAGACCACAGATGCCTTCATGAGGAAAACAAAGCCTTGAACTATTTATGTTTGTTTAGTAAATGCCACTGTCCTGTTTACTGTCTAAGGTTTGCGAGACACTGATAGACGGCATTCTGCGTTTTGCGTTCAGGATTACAGTAAGAACAAGTCCCCTAAACATGCACGGCTCACTCCGCTGGAAGAAAAGCAACTCTTTAACCATCCCCACCCCCCAGTAGCCACACACATGCACAGATGCATAAAAAAATCATCCATCTGTTGCCAGAAGAAATGCCAAAAGCATGCCTGTTTTTCTGCCAGAGGCCCTTCCCTCCGGTCAATTTAGTTGCCCAGGGAAGGCATCCTGCCAGACTCGACGAACAGCTTTGTGCATGGATTAATGACCTTTCAGCAACTCGTCCTTTTTAATCCATAAAACGTGCATTGAATTGTGCCACTGGGCTTCATTTCTGATGGTTTTAGAAAAATAACGCTTCACGTGTAACATGCTGTAGTAGATCAAGAACAGCTGTTTTATGTGTATTTCTCAGGAGCTCTCTGATGTCGCCCGCTTGTGACACTCATCAGTTGCACATATTTATTCTTATTTAGTTTGTTCTGGTGAAATTAACGCAGTCATGTTCCTCCTCTAATGCATTTCTTCCCCCTCTCTCACTCTCTCTCTTCGCTGTGTCCTTGCTTGGCCTCTTCCTCACAGACTCTGATGCAGGTGAGTTTGTTTTTTGTTTTTTTTCTCTCGTCTGTACCTTAACCTTGGCTTACTGGTTAAAATGAACCACATATATGTTAATTTTTTTTTTTTTTTGGGTTTTAAAAGAAAAAAATGTGTGGAACATTGTAGTAATGGACGGTTCAAGAAACACAGACCTGCTTTGCAATTGTTAGCCCGTATTTTGACCGGGCCTGTTTGGCTCTAGGTGTCAGGTTTCTTGTGTCGACTGGTATAGGTTTTCAGCTGATCCTTGAAGTTTGTACTCTAGCTCTCAAGGGCACATTGTCTGGAAATTAAAAATAAAATGAAAGTAATCTCACTTTCCTGAAAACCTGTAAATTTTCCTGCCCCAGAAGATCTTTGTCTACCAGTCATTGTGTATGTGTAGCAGTGGTAGTAGTTGTTTCACCAGCTCGACTGATGCATAAATCAGTGTGCCTTTTTGTAAGCATAAAGCGAGACTGTGTTTGCGTGGGAGAGACGTTAACGTCAGTATTTGTCTGAAGGCGCTGACGCGTGTCACACCGATGTGCCCTTCTTGAAATTTCTAGCACAGACTTCCTCTTAAACTGTTTTTATAAGAGTGTAAGACTCTAAAATAAGTCACCAAAACAACACAGATTATTATATTCAATTGTTAAATAAATCATTACAGTCTGTGTGTAAAAATATCGAAGCGAAGTGGTGATGATCTGATGATCAAACATCTGTCTATCACCAACACAGTGCCAGCATTGTTTTTTGGAGCCAGCTCTGCCTTTTTGGTGTCTTTGCAGAACCAATCCTCATTCTGACAGGTCAGAAAACCAAAAGTTACAACTGCCAGCTTACAGCCAAAGTCAACAGATGGCATTAAGATGCACAGCCGGGTCTTGAATGTGAAGGCAAGCAATGGAAAAAGATTACAAAAAGATGAAGAGAGAAAAAAAGTGAAAGATCCAGACAGCAGGGCGAGACAGATGACGGAGGCCGTCTCTCTCAAAGAGGGAAAAACTCAAAGCTCTTTCAAATCAGATGTCTGGTCTTTCTCAGGAAGTGCGTTTATCAAGAAAAAAACCTGTAGTTACACGAAGACAGAAAAAGCATCACTGCATCAAGAATTTAAAGAGAAAACACTGCCACGAGCCATTTCAATTTATTTTTCCCCACTGAACACTGACGTCTGTTGTTTCTGATATTCCTTCCATATGCAAATGTAGTAGTGTGGGAAGGGGCGCTATGAGACGGCAGAAGCTGTGAATTATTAACAGTAACTTCAGCACTCAGGGTAAAAATAAGACCGATTCATGGAAGTAGTTAAGCCTGCCTGCTTTATTTGCAGAGAAGTTAATAAGGGATGAGCACAGATAAATATATTAGTGTGGGGTTATGTGAAAGGGGCATTGTTGGCATTAGGATGAAGCAGAAACAGTAATCAGGTGATGAGTGAGAGACCATTTTAGCCATTGCATACTGACACAGTGGGTTCTTCTTCATTACCTCGTGCTTCCTTTGATTGCCCCGGCGGCTCCCTCCCCATCTCAGCCCGTCCTCCTGCACAGATCACACGCTCCCTCGTGCTTTTCTTTCACAGCAGCTCTTTTTTGTGTGTGTGCAGAACATCATTGTGGCTCCCTGGGGAACCAGGGCCTCAACTCTCTCCTCCTTCATTGTCACCACTTTTAACTGTACAACATTTTTAAATCAAGCAAACGCAAAAACACCAGAAAAAAACTAGGGTGTTTACTAAACATTTCCTTAACCGCCTTTATCAATAAATTGCCCAAACTATATCCATTTGTAACGCATGTTTGCTTGCAGCGTATTAGGATGAGGTATTTTTTCGTAATAATTTTCTGCTGACTGGTGACAACTGCCGAGGTGTCCCTGTGGTTGATGGTCCCAAACAGGCTCACGACCTTCCTGACAGAAAAGGCAGTTAAAAAAAACATATCTTCAGACTTCGTTTATCTAGTGACTGCTCAGGCTGGGCACCTGTAAAAGCAGTACTTTTCTGTAGGAGCTGCGTTACACAGGTGTTGTTTCAGCTCAGTGTGCGTTGCGTGTCTGTGGTGTGATGTGTTATTACATGAAGACAATTGCCTGGAATGTTATTCACTATATGCAAATTATCACATGCAGTTTACCTCCAAATGTATGGAAATGTTTCAACATGTCTTACACAGCCTTACTGGTATGTTGCCAAAATTGCATGTTCAGGGTCTCTTTTGTTATGCAGCCTCCTGTTCCTTTAAGCTACTTGTGCACTGCATTCTTGAACAGTCCTGGCTAATTGAAGGTTGTAAGACAGGAGGGGGCATAAATATTTGTATAAAGCTACGCATTATTCTGTGTGTTAGAATTAAGGGCTTCCTTTTGACTCGTAACACTTGTGACTTGTGACAGCTGCAGTGCTTCCAAACAAAAGGTGCTTTTAGGGGGAAAAGAGCTGTGTTGTTATTGTTATTGCACATCTTCAGTTTGTATAGCGACTGCTCAGGCTTGGCACCTTTAAAAAAAAAAGTAAAAACTTCTTTGTAGGAATTGTTGTTAGACAGGTGCCGTTCCACTTCAGTGGGTGCCTTATTAAAGGGCTTTACCTGGAATTCACTATATGCAAATACTTGTATTTGTAATATACATATACATATGGAACTGGTTCAACATGTCTCATACAGCCTCACTGATATGTTTTGGGCCCACTGTTTGACTCAGTGCCATTATGCAGCTCGATGCGTCTTTGGGCTTCTTGTGCGCTACATTCTTGCATTACCCATTATCCTCAGCACATTTCCTGTTGTTTTATGATTTAAAACTAAATGCAAAAGCTGATGAATGAGCTCTTTTTAGTCTTCAAAGAGACACGTGGAGTAACATACAAAGTCTGACCAGCACAGGCCCATGGGCTCAGTGTCCTCCTAAGTCATGCTGGGTGCCACAATTGCTGCAGAATCACTAAACTACTGTGAATGTAATAATAAAACTGAGCTTGCACTGCAATAACTTATCAGTGATTCAATTCAGATTATACTGTAAGGTAAAAACCCTAAAATATTATAAAGAACAATCACACATTCCCCATGAGCAAGTACTTGGCAACCTTGGGAAGGAAAAGCTCCCTTTTAGCAGGAAGAAACCACTGATGGAACCACAGGAGCAGGGACTGGTTGGGTGTGAGAGGAAAGAGAAGAGCACAGAGGGAGGCAGCACAAAAGGCAAACTACTGGAGAGTCAGAGTTTAAGAATTGCTAATGATTAAATGCTGTAGTTAAAAGACAGAGTGACCAAGTGCATCATGGGAAGCCCCCAGCAGCAGAAGCTTATGTATGTTTAAGTTTTTCATTACTAAATTGTATCAATTAGTGTAACTTATAATTGAAGCGTATCAGTAGAATTCAGCTGCGGGGCTCACAGTGACTTAATAGGGCAGTTTGGCTCAGTGGCGCTATGCAGCCTCCAGCGCCTTTGGGCTAGTCGCTGCATTCTTGCGCGGTCCCGGCTGATTTAAGGTGGGAAGAGGGTGCTCCGGGCTGGTGTTTGGGGAGCAATAATGTCAGCTTGATTAAGCAGGAAAAAGTTTTAGAGCTGCAGACAGATGGAAAACTGACTCCCACAGAAGACGCTGAAAGGGCAGCCTTAAATCGCGGGTGGGGCGGGGATGAGGTATGGCTACGTTTAGGGCCTCACATGCAGCAGGAAAATGAAACGTTTGATCTTCAGCAGGCGCTGCAGGGGTCATCCCCGCGGGGCGCGAGGACACGGTGACAGCTGTATGCTAATGTGCGCCCGCGCCGGGTCCACGCGGCCGGAGGAGCGGCACGAGCGTGTCGCTGTTCCTCTTTGACAGTGTGTGTCTGGACTCGCGTGAGGAGCACATTTGTCTCCTTTATCATCATTTATTTATGAATTTAAGCTTTTATTTTCCTGTCGACATCGTAATGCTGCTGGATGTCAATGTGATAAAAATGAAGATACTTGGCATGCTGAGCTACACGCTGGTGAGCTTTTATTTATTTATTTAACCTGAAGTTTTGATGAGAGCTTCTGTTCGACCCTTGTACGCTGTGTTCCTTTTTCCATTGGTGAACAGACAACAGGTTTAAAAGTTTAAAATGCAACAATTAGCTGCATGAGGGAAAACTGGAGTTAAGGGAAATGCCAACACGGGTGTTCCTCCAAATGTTCTTCTGTCTTTTATTCTGTAAAGTTGGTGCAAAAACGCCCAGTTGGAGAGCTTACAACTAGCCTGCTGCTCTCCAGCAAATGTTGCGCATAAGTGGCTCTTGAATCGCTTGGAAACACCTCCAGGTGTTTGGCCGGTGGAGAACCAAGCTGTTGTACCACATCACATCATGTTTTTGCTTTCTAGGGCCTGCATGTTTTGGAAGAATTGTTGCTGAAGAATTTTGTGTTATTATAGTACCTCCGTGTCACATGGCAGTTCACCTACTTATCTTATGTCTGAATCCGTTCGTTTCAGTGAATGGGAGGTGACTTTGTGGCAAGGAATCAGTGAAAAGACTTTTATGCTTTTAACAAAGCTAAAGGAAAGTGGAAAATTACAGGGTTTCCCTGAGTAGAAAGTATGTGTGCCTACTAGTCTGCCATATGTTTAGTACTCCCTCAGATCAAAGTGTCACCTAAGATAAGCAAACCTGAGCCTCGGCTCTCATTTCACAATCTGTGTGCTTTTGTTCTTCACTTCGCTGAACAGGTGGCATCTGACTTTAGAGACCCTTCTTGGCTAATCTTAGATATACAAATAGGTACAAAAGGTTTAGCTGAATGGTCGAGAAATCCTGACACATTCTTTAAATGTAAACTAATCGTGTTGTAGAGAGGACACTGATTATTGAGGAGGCACGGCTATTGTATGAGCCCGCGATAAGGTTACGCAGACATTTGTTGTGGACTTTACGCTCATTTTTTCACACAAATAATTACTTCATATGTTCTCTTCACAGGATTTTTCCTATGATGACCCTAAGCTGGAATTCAATGTGGATGCACCCAATGGTGTGGTTATGGAGGGCTACCTCTTTAAGAGGGCCAGCAATGCATTCAAGACCTGGAATAGGTAAAATGGAAAGTTACGATATATAACAAAATAGAATCGAGGTTAGCTTACAAATCAGCCATAACCTGTTCATATGGAAAATACACTAATGTGACAAGATGGGGGTAAAAAGCTCATCTTTCTAACTTTATTGCCTGTGAGCTCTCAGATTTCTATGTAGAATAACTGAAGAAGGAATGTGCTTTGTTGAGCTCTACTAAGTTAGTCGATTTCATTCCATTGGTTCAGTGCTGAAAGTAGACTTCAGCATTTGAGTCAGCCTATCTCTGTCACTCTAACAATCTGATTTCATACCTTCAACCCCCTCCAGGCGGTGGTTTTCTATACAAAACAGCCAGCTGGTCTACCAAAAGAAACTCAAGGTACAGTCTAATTTTGTAAATGTAAATCTACCGTTTTGGGGTCTTTATGCTAGGATTTTGTCACCACTACACAGTTTAGAGTTCTGAATTCTATTTGCCACCATTTGTATAATAGCAGGTCAACCAGTGTCTTGTCTTTCCTGTCGATCCTGTCACTAAGCTTTGTTTTTCTGGCACTCCCCTTTTTCAATGGCAGGATTCTTTGACAGTGGTTGTTGAGGATTTGAGGTTGTGCTCAGTCAAACCATGTGAAGATAATGAGAGGCGGTTCTGCTTTGAGGTGGTTTCACCCACTAAGTAAGTGTGTGTATTTCACTCCAGAATAAGCTCAACTTTATTTTTTTCAGATTGCGACAGACTTAAGCTAAAATATTAAACAGATAAAGATGTTTATAACTAGTTTCTATAAACCTTTAGGAGCTGCATGCTGCAGGCTGAGTCTGAGAAGCTGAGGCAGGCATGGATCCAGGCTGTCCAGGCAAGCATCGCTTCTGCTTACAAGGACATCACCGACAACTATTACATCGAGGTGAAAACAAACACATAACCCAATACAATAACACTTACACAATCCTGTAATGCAAGCCTTTATTTTTCCTTAGATTTGATCAAGTCTCCATCGCTAACTTGTAACTCCATCTTCACAGCGATTGGACCGGACTGCCTCACCCTCCACCAGCAGCATTGACTCTGCCAGTGAACCCAGAGAGAGAGGAGAGAGGGCTGATAAGGGAGTTCGGGGAGGAGGAGAAAGCCTCCTCCAGCGGGTGCAGAGCCTGCCAGGCAATGAGCTGTGCAGTGACTGTGGCCAAACGGCTCCCTGCTGGGCTTCTATCAACCTGGGAGTGCTGCTCTGCATTGAGTGCTCAGGGATCCACAGGTGACTGTACACTAAGGGCTGCAGTTATTGTGCAACAATCACACAGACCCTGTGGACTGTAAATCTTTTAAAGACACTGAAATACATGATGTAGGAGGCAGTCAAAATTAACAAGAGGTGAGCCATTTATTTTGGCTGACTTCCAACAGGTGAAGCCACAAAGGGGAGCTCACGCAAGCAAACAAGCTGAATACACAGACAGCATGACAAAGAACATAGATGAGACTAAGGCTATAAGTAAACAGAAATTCAAACATATAATGAAGGTCTAAAAAGAAATTAGGAGCTCAGAAGTATACTAACACAATCTAAATGATTGACCCCATCCTCATTCCCCTGCTAGGTTGCACTCACACAGCCCTCAATAACCTTATACAGAGCATTACATTCATAACTTTTTTCTAGTTTGTGACTACATTGTAGAAGTGGTGACACACGTCTGCTCACATATTTATTTGATTACTTAACTTGTTATTGAGGAAGCGTTGGAGAACGGTTTTGAGCATGGGTGACAATCATACCACATGCATACGTGGTCAAATCAAACTGAATGCCTGCAGTGAACAAACTGGACTTTAAACCTGCTTTGTCAGTTTGTTTTCTCTGGTGAGTTTTTCTTGATTGCCCAACCTTAAAATGAAACTGTCCTAGTTTAGTAAGGCTATTTACAAAAAAAAAGATGTTCCTTTCCAGAGAAGAGAACAACACGTCACATGTGACTGACATTTGCCCTGCTTCTGCTTGTTTTTAACACATGCCTGTTTAATCTTCTGCATTCAAGCATCCCGTTACATTCACGTCCACACAAGTGTATCAGTTCTTTTTTGATATGTCAAACTTTCCATCATGTACAGTGGGGCAAAAAAGTATTTAGTCAGCCACCGATTGTGCAAGTTCCCCCACCTAAAATGATGACAGAGGTCAGTAATTTGCACCAGAGGT